ACCGAAGAGTGTTGTTTGTGCCGGTAGTACGCTTCAGATGCAGCGTTGCCTGCGCCACGTCGCCGCGGCGCGCGAAAACAATTATTGAATCTGCTGAGAGTCGACGAGCGCGTTCCACTACTCGCAAAGTAACTACTCGCAAATGGCCTGGATCCCCCGCGGGGGATCTACGATACATTACATCAAAGCAGACATGTGTTTTTCTGACGTTTGCGAGTAGGCACTTTGCGAGTAGTGGAACGCGCTCGGCGACAGAAATAATGCAAGAACCGTGCTGGCGCCGCCGCGGCAGCACGTGCCGGACCTCTTCCTCCCTCCCTCCTCCTCCTCCTCCTCCTCCTCCTCCTCCACCTCTTCCTCGTCTTCCCCTTCCTCCTCCTCCGCCTCCTCCTCCTCCGCCTTTCCTCCTCCGCCGCCTCTGGACCCCTCACAAGCTATCCCTGCACCCCTGCCGGGACTCTGACGACCCCGGTACTCGAAACAACTCCCAGGTAACAGAACAGGGGCCATTCTGCTGGGCCCCAGGGCTAACGGTCTCTCCTGCTGGTTCTCGTAAGACGTCACTCCGCTGGACCCCCCAGCAGCCCTCTAAAGTGGCGACAGTTTCGCAAATCGCAGCCCCCCCGGGGCGACGTCTCCTGGTGGTCTGCGTAAAACGTCACTCCGCTGGACCCCACAGCAGCCTTCCTAAAATGGCGACAGTTTCGCAAATCGCAGCCCCGCAGGCATGGCGAGTGGCGAGGTCTCATCTGAACCCACTCCGCTGCACCACCCAGCAGCTCTCGAAAATGGCGACAGTTTCGCAGATCGCACCCCCCCGAGGGATGGCAAGGTCCCACCTGAATCTGGGTAAAACGTCACTCCGCTGGACAACCCAGCAACTCTCGAAAGTGGCATCAGTTGTGGCAGCAGTTTCGCAGATCGCAGCCCCACAAGGATGGCGAGGTCTCATCTGACTCTGGGTAACACGTCACTCCGCTGCCCCCCACAGGAGCCCTCGAAAGTGTCGACCGTTTCGCAGATCGCAGCCCCCCTGGAGAGGCACTCCGCCAGGGTCCCCAGCAACCCTCGAAATTGGCGACAATTTCGCAGATCGCAACCCCCAAGGATGGGCAGGTCTCCTGGTGGCCCGCGTAAGTCTTCACTCCGCTGGACCCCGCGGCAGTCCTCGAAAGTGGCGCCAACTTCGCAGATCGCAGCCCTGCTCGGACGGCGAGGTCTCATCTGAATCTACTTAAGACGTCACTCCGCTAGGCCCCCCCGCAACCCTCGGAAGTGACGACAGCTTCGCAGATCGCGGCCCCTCAGGGATGGGGAGGCCTCCTCTGAATCTGGGTAAGACGTCACTCCCCGGAAACACCCAGCAGCCCTCGCAAATGGCGACAACTACACGGGCAGCGTTCTATTCAAAACGAATATCCAACGCAGGGGGGGTGGGAAAAACTGCCTCCAAGACGCCCCTGAGACGCCTCCAGTGAGACCCCATCAGCCATCCGAGTGGCCTCAGACCCGCAACCCAAACACGGTGGCGGGATGTGCCGAAAACCATGAGATGATAATTCGTCGGGCGTTTTGATAGATGCCTCATTCCCCATGTTTGCAAGGCGAATGCTGAGAATGTCAGCCCAAGGGGGCCCGAAAAGGCCCCCAAGAGACCCCCATGAAGCGCCGAGAAAGCTCCAAGAAGCCCCCCAAAAGGCGCACAAGAGGTCCTCGGGAGCAGCACGCAGCAGCGGCCAGTTCCCAACGGGGTCGGCGGTGTGGCGCACACCCAGGAATCGTCCAATTCTCGTGAAACCACGTACTCCAGATTTCGGGTAATTCCAGACCCCCCCCAAACGAGCCATGAAGGGCGGCTTTTTGCCCAGACCCACTGGACCCCTCCAAGACAGCTCAAATCTGACCCCATCCCAAATCAGACCACCCCCCTTTTATTGTGAAATCCGGAGTACGTTTCTAGGATCTGCGACTCTTCGGCTTTACGACGCTGGCAACGGTTCGAGGAGGCCCCCATGACCGCCACAAGGAGCCTCCAGGAGAGCCCCAGGGCAGCCCCAGAGGCCCCAAGACGGCCCAACAGGCGCCCAAAACAGCCGAAAGGAACGTCACAACTTACCAGCCTGGAACATATCCCTATCCCTATGTTGGGCATCTCCTCATCACGATGCCCATCTTAGGGGTTCCCTTATTGTTTGAGGGCGCATCCCTAAGATTGTCATCGCTTTCTGGCGTGTCAATCTTGCGGATAGGGATTGTTCGAGGCTGGTAAACAACGGCCTCGAGGAAGAGGCCCAAGACCTGGAGAGCCTGAGCCGACAATGCGAGCCATTCGCCCGAGAATGCACCCAGGAGTCCTCACGAAACCTTCGAAAACTCCAACGAGACTCCCACAAGGCTTAGGTCGGGCGTGCCCCCTTACCGGCGGATTTTGCGCGAAAAATTGGACCTGCTCAAAACAATGCCCCCCCAAATGGTCTCAACAATTGTAAAACAATTCGGCGCCATACTATTTTTCCGGCTATTTGTGGATATCCTGTTGCTCTTCCCTCTCCCCCAACTTCCCGCGTCGACTTTTCCATATTCGTCGCCCACGCCCCGTGTTTTCTTTCCACGCCCTTTTCCACGGACTTGAGCTCGCATAACGCTCCAACGTGGCCACCCGAACGGGCATCATTTGCAAGACTTGCATGTGAGGGTGCCGATTTTTTCCCGGCGCGCGAGACAACGTCAGCACTCGCGGAGAACGCCGACTTCGGCAATTTCCTTCCGCACTTGCCACTGAAATGACGGGCCTGCCGGCTAAGCGCCGCGAAGCCAAAGTTTGCGCATTCCGCGCACAACGCTTTTGCTTTGACTTTAGATGTTCTTCCACCTGTGCGAGGCCTGGAAATGGGTACCAACACCAAGACAGAGGGCTGCCTCCACAGGGGGGAGGTGATCCTAGATTTCGGTGTTGGTGGCAATATTTCGGCCACCTTGGAAGCCAGAACTATTACCATCATCGCCGAGATCGGGATCTTCTTCCCTCGGTGGAGGCACACCGCCGAAATTGGTGTTGGTGCCAACCTCTGGGCCTGCGATCCACCTGTCCCTCCTTGAAGTGTGTGGCGTCCGAGAACACCTGCCCGCAGGCCGCGCACCTCAGCCTGCGCTCGCGCCGCTCTGCCGCACCGGCCAGGCCCTCTGCGGTGGCCCCCCCTCCTTGCCGCGTGCTGCGCAGAGCACTCAGGGCTCCTTGCGACGACCGAGGATGCCCCGCCTGCTCCGGGGTCTAATACTTGGTCCAGTCCCACGACACTTGGCGCGCAGCACGTCAGCGGCTCCACTGCTGCTCGTCTCTTCCCCTTTCCTCTCTTCGGGGATGGACCGACCCCCCTTTCGTAAAACGAAGTTTAGTGAAAACGACCTGAGGCCCAAACCTGGCGGGCGCAAGCCTGGAAAACAACGGCCACGGCGCCCTCTCGAGAACCGAAAACGGACAATTCACTAATCGACGTGTCACTGTTGGGGGTTCTGTCCACCGCCGATCTCTCGTGAGCCGCTCGACGCACCGCCTCTGGCCGGTGCCGTCGCTGGGGCTGCGCCGGGCAGCGGCGGCAGGGGGCCGAGCGGCTCCGGCGAGAGCAGGCACGGCGTCGGGATCGGCGGCTCGGCAGCCGCCGGGGTGCCCCTGCGAACCCCGGCAGACATCCTCTGCACAGGTGCGCACGATGGTTGGCCGCTCTGGCAAAAAGGGGCTGCGCAACGAAAAGGCGAGCAGCTCGAGGCAGGCCGGCTCGAGGCAGAATGTGTGTACGGGTCGGCTGTGAAAGACCGTTGGCGCTCGCGGCTGGCTGATGCCCCAGACAGCGCACGCACTGAATGGGGCCCTCGCGGGCGCTGTAAGGAAAAATGTGACTGAAGGGGCCCCAGGACACACAAATAAATACACACAAATAAAAATTGTCCCCATATTTTCCGATATTTTCTGGGTTTCTGTCTTCCCCCCCACTTCCCATATTTTCCCATATTTTCTGGGAAATCGACGATTCATTGTGTCTGTGTGTTTCTTCTCCTCCCGAGTGACCCCGATCTCGTTGGGTGCTGAGCGTTCCCTGGCTCCGAGTCTTGGACTACTGGGTTCCCAGTCGCGGCCAGGTTCCCCCAGACTTCGAGCGAGCAGTGGACAGTGGAGGATACGGGCAGAGCGCACGAGAGCAGAAGCCATGAAGCACAGGGAAGAGAGCAGAGAGCAGAGAGCACGGAGTAGAGGGGCAGGACCAGAGAAGTGCAGGGTCGTGCGCAGAGGGTGCAGGGCAGCTCTGTAAAACAGGGGGCTGTCGGCACAGAGCCCCGCCGCCTCCTGAGAAGGCCTGCCCCCTCTCGCTGCCCCCCGCCGGCAAGCCGCCGAGCTGAGATCGGGGGGGAGTCTGTCCAACTGCGGTGATCCTCGTCCTCTGGCTTTCGGATCATACGGTAGAGGGAAACAATTACTGAACACTCCCCCTCCCTCCCAAACTCAGTGTTGGCACGCGCGGGGGAGACTGCGGTCGAAGTGCATCTCATCAGACCCACCGCCAACTTTGAACATTGGGGGGAAGGGGGAGGCGTTGACGGATGAATGTGGCATGTGTTCGCCAGTTTGTTCCGAGGCCTGTAGCCCGGGCCTCCCGGCGGCTTCTCGGGACACCCAGGGCAGCCCCCAGACGCCTCTCGGCGGGGCGCCGCTGCCGCAGGCGCCCCGAGACCGGAAGCCCCCCGCGATGCGGCGAGAAGGAATGCCCGAGGACGTCGAACGACGGCCCGTCGACGGCGCTTGAGGTAGCGACAGTGCTAAAAGCAGGTCGGGCGTGCCCCCTTCAGGCGGATTCTGGGCGAAAAACTACAGATAATGACTCCAAACATGCCCCCAACTAGCCCAAGATGATCAGAACATGGTCCCCAGACTATGTCTCGACTATGCTTGAGCTCGCCTGCGCCCAGAAAAACGGGGCGGTGTCCTTGCTTGCGTTAGACTGGAGGAAAGCCTTCGACAGCGTCGGCGTAGACGGCATGATATCGGCCCTGGAACGTTTCGGCATTCCTGTGATGTACAGAGAGCTGCTGCGCAGCATCATGATCGGACGGAACTTTTTCGTCGACGACATGGGCCGCCAGTCAGCCACTCGCCGCCAGAATTCTGGGATCTCCCAGGGGTGCACCCTGAGCCCGCTCCTGTTCATTGTTGTCATGAGTGCACTAATGGAAGACGCAGTGGCGCTCCTGGGACCTTCTGCAGCAATGGCGCACTGCAGCGGGGATCTCGCGGACATTGCTTTTGCCGACGACACGTTGCTCATCGGTTCCAACGCGGCGCACGTGGAGGAATTCGCCTCGGCTGTGGCACAGGCTGGACAGGCGTACGGCCTCGAGCTTCACCTGGACAAGCTACAGCTGCTGCAATGCCGCACAAACCGACCTCTTCACATATCCGGACGCGCGCTGGAGACCGAGGATGCGCTTATATACCTTGGCACCAGTCTGACGCCAGACGGCAGAATGTCTGGGGAACTCACAAGGCGCATCGGGCTGGCACACGCGGCCTTCCGTGCAGTCCGGCAAGTTTGGAGACATTCGTCATTATCCTTGCAGTGGCGGTTGCGCGTCTTCCACGCGCTCATCGAGTCGAAGCTGTTATACAGTTTGGCCGCAGGGTGCTTCACCAAGGCAGATCTTCGCCGATTGGACGGTTTCCAGGCGAGATGCCTGAGGGTTATCATGAAGATTCCCAGTGCGTACATTTCTCGGATTTCCAACGCCTCGGTGCTCCAGAAGGCCGGGGCAGAGCCTGCCTCCGCGCAGCTGCGGCGAAGGCAACTGCGCCTCCTCGGGAAGGTCATCCGGCAGCCGGAGGGGTCTGCAATGAGAGACGTATCATTCTGCCCGGGCAGATCTCTCCGTCCAGCAACGGACCGCTACATTCGGGTGCGCGGGAGACCCCGGACAGAGTGGATCCGGACCGTTCTGCCGGACGGGTTGCGCGTCGCGGGCGGCTTCCAGCAATTGACAGACGCAGCCATCGACGAGCAGCACTGGCGCAAGATCGTCAAGGAGTCTTGAAACTGCCCTTCCCTCCTTCTTCCTCCCCCCAAAAGTGTTGCCGGCCGCAGTGTCGTAGAAGTCTCGCCCGCGTTTCCTCCGTCGCCCCCTTGTCGCTCGTCCCTCCTCCCTCCCTCCTGGCCTCGCCTCTCGTCCCCGCTCGTCGTGCGTCCCTCCCTTCCCCCCGTGCGTCCTTTCCCCCTCCTGTTGTAGCACCGCAGATCTATGCATGCACATCCACAGCCTCGTTCCGCAGCTTGCAGGACGGATGCCGTCAAAGACGGGGTCCCGGTCCATGCCCCGTGCACGTGCCCATGGGCTGCCCCAGCCTACGGCTTGACCTGACCTGACCTGATCCCTCCTGTCGGGGGACACGCCCGATGCCAAAAACAGGAGGAGGAGGAGGAGGAGGAGGAGGAGGAGGAGGAGGAGTGGCAGGAGGAGGAGGAGGAGGAGGAGGAGGAGGAGGAGGTGCGAGGAGGAGGAGGAGGAGGAGGAGGAGGAGAGGAAGGAGGAGGAGGAGGATGAGGAGGAGGAGGAGGAGGAGGAGGTGGTGTACGAGGAGGAGGAGGAAGGAGGAGGAGGAGGAGGAGGAGGAGGAGGAGGAGGAGGGTGTACGAGGAGGAGGAGGAGGAGGAAGGAGGAGGAGGAGGAGGAGGAGGAGGAGGAGGAGGAGGTGGTGTACGAGGAGGAAGAGGAGGAGGAGGAAGAAGGAGGAGGAGGAGGAGGAGGAGGAGGAGGAGGGAGGAGGGAGGAGGGAGGGAGGGCACCACGACATAGCACCTCCGCGAAGCCATCCTGAGAGCACTGCCGGCGAAGCCGCAACGAGGAGGCGACGGCCCCCAGACGGCCCCGAGTGGCCAGGGAGGCTTCCGAGAGCCCCCCGCGGGGCCCGCGTCCTGCCAGACCCAGCCGAGACTCAGCGGCGTGCCGTTGGCTGGTCGCCGAAGCGGGGACGGACCGCCGATCGAAGAGGAGATCGGCGCGGAGCTCTGGAGTTGTCTTCCGGGCGCGGGCGCGGTCTTGGGAGGGAGGGGGCGGAGTGGACAGCACCACGACGCACAGCAGGGGCCCAACCACAAGGACGTCACGCCTTCCGCAGCAAAATCATCGAAACCCAAGAAACCCAGGGCACCCTGGAGGAGAGGAGGGTGTTTCTCGGCATGGGCCCCCCCACTGCACCACCTCCGCGAAGCCATCCTGAGAGCACTGCCAGCGAACTCGAAACAAGGGAGTCGGTAAGCGACCCGAGTTACGGCGGGACCGTTCTCGCCTGTTCCTCCCAGGCAAGACGAAGGAGTCCGAGCAGAGCAAGGAGCGCAATACACAGCGCGGGCAGCACGCGGTGACGGCGATGGTGCCGACGACCAGCAGGGCCACGGTGGTGGTGAAATACCTGCCGCACCGGGGGGCCTTCTCTTGAATCCTCCTCTTCAATCCTCCTCCTCCTCCTCCTCCTCCTCCTCCTCCTCCCTCCTCCTCCTCCTCCTCCCCCTCCTCCCCCTCCTCTCCTCCTCCTCCTCTCCTCCTCCTCCTCTCCTCCCCTCACCTCCTCTCCTCCTCCTCCTTCCTCTCCTCCTCTCCTCCTCCCCCTCCTCCTCCTCCTCCTCCTCCTCCTCCTCCTCCTCCTCCTCCTCCTCCTCCTCCTCCTCCTTCTTTTTCCCACAGCCCTGAGGGACCAATGTCTGAGGTGTCCACACATGCATACGTCAGCGGTGAGATAGGCGGCAAGTATAGCGGGGGACGAGGAGAGCAGCAATGGCCAACATCAACCCGACTCGCAATACAAATCGAGCGGGGCATATAGATGGGCAACTGACGCCTCCAGCCATGCATCCCCAGGAGGCGCGGGGGCACAGCGTTGTGAGGCTGCCTGCGTGATAACAGCAGCTACGTAGAATTCCACCTGGCTGCTGTCAGGAGGGGCCAAGATCGGCACGGCATTCATGCACAGGCACTGACGGCCCCCCATGGGCACACATCTCGACGCGGTGGTCGGAGACGTAGCTTGCAGGGAGCACAGGAACCTGACCTCGGGGACCTTCCAAATGCAGGGCAGGTTGGCTTGCGGAGCAGGTGGGTTTAAAATGAGCAGAGTCGCCAGGCCCGAGGACGCCGCACACAGCGCCAGCGTCAGTGCCGCCCTCAAGCACGCACTGTCGAGCTCCAGCTGTTTCCACTCCGAGGGCGACCTGGCAGAAATTCCCCATGGCTCATCGCAGCTCCTTAAAGGCCTGCATTCACCACCCTTGGCTTTGCAGCGGGGGGCGGGGTCCCACGAGGAAAGGAGAAAATCCGTCACGAGACCAATAACACGCCCAGCAAGAATAATATCAGTAATGAACAATAGCTCCTTATGAAATCCCTCCATGGAGTTCTGGAAAAGCTCGAGAATATTAAAAGACAAAACAAAAACAATCATGCCCGCTATGGCACTGGACTTCTCCGCTCTGTCCTGGATGTCACCTTGACTCCTGGGGGCTGCACGGAGGATCACAATGTACTTAGTACCAGGGGCCGCAGGCAGGTGGACCTCTGCCCGAGTAGGCATCTCTTCCTGGATGCACACTGGTTGGCAAGAAATTCTCGGCATGCAAGTGGGGGGGCCCTTGGAGGCAGCCGCCCCCCTCAGCCTAGGTCCCGTCGCGAGGACAGGCGGGAGCTGCGCAGACTCCGCGTAGTGGCCTTTCTCTCGGAGCGTGCGTGCTAGCTCCGCGTCCTCCGCCTTAGCCGCCATCACCTGTTCGGGGCTCAGCGGTGTGATGACGGCCATAAGGTCCGCCAAGCACTTCGATGAGCCATGCCGAACGTGTTTGAGCAATCTTAGATGCGTGTGGAAGTTGAGACCGCATGCCATGCACACAGTGCCTGAAACGTAGATGGGGGCGGGGTCAAGGTGGGGGTGGCACTTCGAGCGATGGGAGGCCCATGCGCCCTTGCGGACGCAAAAACGACGGGAGCGCAAGACCCTTGGCGATGCAACACTTTCGCCACCCGTCCTTGAATTCTTCATGACGCTGATCTTCCAAAAATTTGGCCCTGGCAGCCGATTCTGCTTGCTTGCAGATTCGCTTCCAAAACTTGTTGCTGCTAGACCTCAGGAGCCACAACCACCAAGCAGGGGGCCCTGACGGTAAGAATTCCCTGGCCAGATTCACATGTCTGCTGAGCCACAAAAGGTCATCGCAACACAATGCGGACCATGATTCTGGCACTGAGGCTAGCTCGTCCAGGATCGCCAGCAGACAAGCAGGCGCTGATCTGAGAAGCCTGGGAAGAAATCGCAGCCGCCTGAGCCTCAACACCAGCTCGACGGGCATGATCTCACACTTGACAAAAACTCTATGGTCTGCAGCAGCCTTACCAGAACTAGAATCGTACCCAAGACCGGCCGCCAATCTAAACGGGCTCAAATAGTTGTGCGCCAGGGTCGCCATCTGTTTTACGTTTAACTTGTGCCAAGTGAGGGCATTAAACAGAAGGTGCGACGTGCACAAAGAAGTAACATAAATTAACTTGGCCCTTAAATTGACTTGCCTCCTGGGGAAAACAGTGCGCCTCAGTACCCCTAGAGGACGTCGCTGCTGATGGCAGCGGTGCGCCAGCTCGGGTCCCAGAGAAATGTGATGGTCCTGGTAACTTCCCAAGTGTTTGTAGGTTCTAGTGAGGCACAGGGAGACGCCTAAGGAAGGGACGAGAAGACCAGTGGCAGCCAAGGCTGCACATTCCCCTCGTGCCTTCCTGGAACCTGTGCCGCTGAAGAAGGCCATGAGCTCCGTCTTGCCCGCCTTCCAGTTCATGGTGAACCCCCTAGACTTGGTTTCTTCGTACATGATCGTGACGAGGGCGATGGCCGCCTCCTTCCAGAGCCTAGCGTCCCACAGCTCGATGCCGTTGACGAGGTCATCCATGAAGGCAGGATCCCATACGTCTTCCTCTACATGCTCGTGCTCGCGACCTCTGAAAATCCTCTGAGACGGGGCCACATCCTTAGTCCTCTGAAGAGACCCCAGGGATCCTAATCTACTGTTGACCGCGATGATGATTGGGTCGAAGGCTATGATGAACAGGAGGTCTGCTAGTGGCATGCCTGGCCTCGTACCTAGGCGGGGGGAGACAACCCTGGTACTCCCCCGTACGTGGAACCAGTTGCATTCCATCACGTCAACCACTGCTTCCAGGAGGTGCTTACTTGCCAGTCCGTCCAGGGCTCCAGGCTTGGCGACTAGGGCATGGCACAGAGGCTCCAGACAACTTGGTATCTCCAAGTCCGCCAGCGTGTTTTGGATGTCCTCGCTGTTCTGGGCCATTCTGGCAACGAACCCTCGGATGACCGAATAGAATGCCGCCTTCAGATCGGTGTACAACGACAGGTATGTGCGCTTCCTAGCCTTGGCAGCCAGCATGGCCGACCGAAGATGCAAGGATGCAATGTCAGTGCCGCGTTGAGGGAGAGCCCCCTGCTGGACCACCGACAGCACGTTCATCGTTGCCTCTAACAATTTACTCCTGAGGAAGGCATGGTGCAACTTCGCCGTGTGACATCCCAGTATGATGCCTCTGTAATGTTCCAGGGGTTCGGGGGGCCCAGCTTCGTGCAGATCACATTGCCAACCTCCTTTGAACAGCAGGGGGCTCCCTGGACGCCATGTCAACTTTCACGAACAACGGCAATAGGATCTGCGTGCATTCTTGCGGAGCGACCTGGAAAGATCATTGCTAAGTCCGTCAGGCCCAGCTCCTCTCCTCTTGGCTGCCTTCATGATGTCGTGCTTGAGCCTGCGGAAGGGGGTGATCATGCCCAACTCCCTGGGATATACATTTCCCCGCCCGGGGAGGGCGTTGTATCTTTCAACCAGTTCTTCCCAGCTGAGTGCCTGCCCATTCTCAACTACAGCGAAATAATCAGTGAGGGCCTCCGAGAGATCTCCAGATGTGGCCAGAACCTCGCCCTGAGAACCTCGTCGGATTCCAAGCCCCTCGACCTGGAACTTGGAGCGCTTCCCCCCGAACCTTTGCAG